CATGCCGTGCCGGAGCCTTGAGCACAGAACTGTCCTGGTCCATGCATGCCGGAAGTAACTGTGGCCGCATATTGAAGCAACCCTTGCACTGCTCAGCGCCGCCTGCGTCTCACACCTCCGTTTGATCCGCCTCCCATGGACCGTCGCCGGGAGTCCTTCGGCATGGACAGATCCGAAAGGGAAGCAGCGACCGAAGACGCCGAGCCGCGAGTTGCCAAAGTCTTTGGTTCAATCCAAGGCCCATGCCATGGGCTTACACCCCTGCTCCGAAGCTACTGGTCGAACCTGGAGGTGAACATTGCAGTCTCGCACAGCTCTGACTGGTGGCGGTGCAACCACCACAAAGGACGCTTGGAAAGAACACCAGGCAAGCAAAAGCGAACACATCAGCAGCCGAGAGTACGGCCAGCACACCGGCAGCCTGGTTGCCGGGAGGGAGCCAGCCATGCTCGTCTTGCGCGATACCTGGGTGGAGAGGAACAGTCTAAGCAAGCTTATGAGCCTTTGAAATGTCGCGGTTCCTGCAAGGAGTCACGCAAAAAGAGATGCGGCAATGCATGAACAGTGCCTGCACCAGCACCTCTCAAGGGCCCAAAGATGTCCACAGGTCTGGAAACACGGCAAGAAGAAATCACCCCCCATCACTAGGCTGTTCTGCCTGGTCCGCATCCACCAGGGTGTGATGAAACCACCTTTCACCTGGAACGAGGGCTGCAGGGGCTCCTAAACCGCTGGTGACAAGGGGTGAGGAGTGCTGGAAGAAGGCAAATTCATTTTCTGGAGTTGCTCAGATGTCTTGTAAGGACAACTACTAAGGACATGTAGTCATCGCACAGTAGACATGCCCAGTGGTATAGTAAATACGCTCTACTAAACCAATTATAGAGAGCCCTATCTTGGGTTGCAGGGACTAGGTGGTAAGGGATATGATTCAGGATTTGGTAAAAGTAGTAGTAGTAGTGGTAGTAGTAGTAGTAGTAGTAGTAGTAGTAGTAGTAGTAATAGTAGTAGTAGTAGTAGTAGTAGTAGTAGTAGTAGTAGTAGTACGAACACGCATAGTAGTGACAATAGACGATTCAATA